GACGAGTTGGCAACCATCATTCGAGGCTTGAAAAATCTTGGTGAGGATGAAACTAATTATGGCAAGTTACTTATACCTCTACTATTACAGAAATTACCGACTGATTTCCAACAGCAACTTGCCCATAATAACTCGAACAACAAATGGACATTATCCCGTCTGAGCGAACTCATGTCAAATGAAATACGCGTTTTATCAATCAGTGAAGGTATAAATCTCGATAGCCAACCGAATTCAACCGTCGCTACGTTCTACATAAGAACTACAGCCCGCGAATCTACCACTTCTAGAAATAATTATTCCACACCCCATGGTTATAAATCGACAAACGAACATGATTCTGCCAATAGTTATAACCCTGGTAACCGAAAAAGACCGTCACAACGACCCTGCGTGTACTGCCGTGGACCTCACAACCCCACGGATTGCGTCAAAATACCCGACCATAAGACGAGAATGGATATTGTTAAACGCAGACAACTTTGCTACAATTGTCTCGGAACACACCCCGTTAAACAATGTAAATCTCGATACACGTGTAGACGTTGCCAGGGGAAACATCACACCTCGCTCCACGATGAAGGAAACGCTTCCAAGCCATCTGAAGTTCGAATTGCCAACGTCAGTGTGAATTTCTCTCACGCGTCTCGCAACCCGTCTCAATGCTCGTATCAGGGGAGACATAGTACACCTGATCCACGAACACGGCGTGTCTTACTAAAGACAGCCAAAATTCCAACAACGTGCGGAGTGAAAACAACAATCGCGACAGTTCTATTCGACGAAGGTGCGGATCGTTCGTTCGTAACCAAAAGATTTGCGCAAGCCATCGATGCTAAAGTATACAGTTCAGAAGTACTCAACCTGAAATCTTTTTCAAATCCACGTACTGGATTCAAGACAATTCCGTGTACCACTCTACAGTTGCATCAACGCAACGGCAATCGCACACCTATAGACCTCCTTTACGTGGAAGAAATCTCTGACAATCTAACGAACAATGTAAACACTGATATCAAGCAACTTAATTATCTTCGCAAACTCAAGCTTGCGCACCCAATTTCCAATGAACCTACTATGAAGATCGACATTTTAATAGGTGTGGATCGGTATTGGGATTTTGTTGGAAATCACGTAATCCGAGGCCACGGTCCCACAGCTGTCAGCTCGTGTTTCGGATACTTACTATCAGGACCCATCTACACCGGTAAGCCACGTACGAATCACGTACAAGCATTTCACCTCACCGCAATCCCGTCCGATGATGAACTGCTCGCCA